TTGCGGTTTCAGTTTCACTACAGGTAAAGGCACCAAAGCTTTGAACTGGAAAGTTTTAAATTTCCTTTGAAAGCTATTTTTTCCATGGGTTTGAGCACCATTGGACAAATAGATGGGTTTTGTGCACATATTCCCTTATTTATTTATTTTAAGAGACAGGGTCTTGCTCTGTCACCGAGGCTGGGGGGCAGTGGCGTAATCTCAGGTCACTGAAGCCTCAACATTTCTGGCTCAAACGATCCTCCAACTCAGCCTCCTGAATAGCTGGGACTACAGGAACCCACTATCATGCCCAGCTTATTTATTTATTTATTTTGAGACGGAGTCTCGCTTTTTCACCCAGGCTGGAATACAGTGGCACCATCTCGGCTCACTACAACCTCCGCCTTCCAGTTTCAAGTGATTCTCCTGCCTCAGCCTCCTGAGTAGCTGGGATTACAGGTGCTTGCCACCACACCCGGCTAATTTTTGTATTTTTAGTAGAGACAGGGTTTCACCATGTTGGCCAGGCTAGTCTCGAACTCCTGACCTCGTGATCCGCCCGCCTTGGCATCCCAAAGTGTTGGGATTGCAGGTGCGAACCACCGCGCCCAGCCCACGCCCAGCTAATTTTAAAATATTTTCTCTAGAGGCGAGGTCTTGGTATGTTACCCAGGCTAGTCTTGAACACCTGGGTACCAGCGATCCACCCACCACGGCCTCCCAGAGTGCTGGGGTTACAGGGCGGGCCACCGCACCGAGCCTCCACCACTCTCGCATTCTGTGTCTTACTCCCTTGTGCGCCTCCAGCCTGGGATTGCGCCTCTGAGATTCAAACCAGTACTCAAGTATCTGAGGTTCTTCCTTAATCTCCAGATGCCCCAAAAGTCCCCTCTCTCTGACAAAGTCTCCCTTTTCACGCGGGCTCCTTTCCACCCCCCAGCTCCAGCTCCCCGCAGAGACTCCGAGGTGAGCAGCCTTCATCAGGCCTGAAATGGGCTCCCGGGTATGGCAGTGAGCCAGGTGGCCGCTCTGCTCCGGGAAGTGGTGCAGGCGCGCGCCCTGGTGGAAAACGACGGAGCTGCAGGCTTCGTTCTGGTTCCGACCCCGAGGCCGAAGGCCTTCCAGGTCACCTGAGAGACTCCGCCCAATGGAACGGCCCTGGCCAGAAGCTGAGGAGGTGCGCCCGGGACCGAGCTGGGGTCTTGGAGGGAAAGAGGGTGAGGGCAATACAGTATTGGGGGTGAGAGAAGGGTTGGACGGAAGAGGGTCGGGTGTCTGGACATGCGCAGGGCCGCGGGACTCTCGGTGGAGTAGCGAGGGAGACGGTCTCACCACTGCTCCGCAGGGCCGGGACTCCCAGTGGTGGCGGGCCCCTCGGAGCTCCCGCCTGCCGACTCCCAGGCCTGGAGCCCGGGGAGAGTGGTCACCTCCGTTCCTGCACACCCGTGCATGGTGTGTGCGCCGAGCGTCCGGGAGCCACGGCGGTGTCTTCCCTGCGCGTCGTTTGCACGTGCAGGGGGAGGAGGCTCCCCCGGGCTGAGCCGTGGCCAGGGTTATGAGGAGGCCCGCACTCAACCCCACCTCTCCCCAGATGGCATCGTCGAGCCCTGATGCCCCGTGTTCCTGCGACTGCTTTGTCTCGGTGCCCCCAGCCTCAGCCATCCCTGCTGTAATCTTTGCCAAGAACTCGGACCGACCCAGGGACGAGGTGCAGGAGGTGGTGTTTGTCCCCGCAGGCACTCACGCTCCCGGGAGCCGGCTCCAGGTGGGTTAGGCCTTATGGGGTGCTGGAAGGTGTGGCAGATCTCGGCATTCTTCTAAGACCTTCTTCCCTGATCCCCACGCCTGGGAGGCTGCCAGAAGTAGTGGGAAGAGCATGAGCTTCAGGTCTACTATCCTGGCCCTGAGCCCATGATGTAGCCTCAGTCTACCTCAGTTTCCTCTTCTATAAAATGGGAATGAGACTTTCTTCAAAGGGATGTATAAGGTGATTGGCAGAGTGCCAGCAGGCGTCAGGTGCCGCCCCTCTCTGAGTGGACGCTTCCTTTTTCCTCCCTCACCTCCAGTGCACCTACATTGAAGTGGAACAGGTGTCGAAGACGCACGCTGTGATTCTCAGCCGCCCTTCTTGGCTGTGGGGGGCTGAGATGGGCGCCAACGAGCATGGTGTCTGCATTGGCAACGAGGCTGTGTGGACTAAGGAGCCACTTAGGGAGGGGGAAGCCCTGCTGGGCATGGACCTCCTCAGGTGCTGACCCTGCCCTTCCTCATCTCCCTGACATGCCAGGGCCCATCCTCCCCTCCCCCCAGCCTGGTTCACGGGGGCCTTCTCCTCTCTGCAGACTTTGCCCTCGTGCGGGAAGCTGCAGCAGCAGCCACCTTTGGGCATCTCCTGGCCCAGAAATAGAACAGTGGTTTATTTATTTGTTTTCAGTTGAAATCTCATGTACAGTCCCAATTTATAAAATCAGTAATAGTGGAGCCGCTCTGGGTGGAGAGAGGTCGGGGGTTCAGCACAGTTCTCTCTCTGAAACTGTGTTTCAGGCCTTTTCATGGAAACCTCAGAGCGGCACATGGAACCACAGACTGTTGAAAGCCACTGGCATAATTGTGTTTGATACGATCAGTACCAGCAGATTTGCTGTGTGACTTGACCCTATCACCAAACCTCTCTGTGCCTCTTCTGTTCCCTGGAGCTTCTGCCACCAGCCATTGATCCCTCTGTCACCCTTCTGTCCCTTGGCCCTCTCTCTTGCCAGGCTGGCTTTGGAACGGAGCACCTCTGCCCAGGAGGCCTTGCATGTGATCACAGGCTTACTGGAGCGCTATGGGCAGGGGGGCAGCTGCCTGGAGGACCCTGCACCGTTCTGCTACCATAACACCTTCCTGCTGGCTGACCGCACTGAGGCATGGGTGCTGGAGACAACTGGGAGGCTCTGGGCTGCACAGAGGATCCAGGGTGAGGCGTTCCCTTTCTGCCAGCCTTGAGAAGTATGAGATGGTAGCAGCAGGGAGGGGCTTGATCCAGTTATGAGCCTGTCTGGACATCCAGGGAGACGGGAGATGAGTCCACCTGGGAACTCTGCTCCCCTTCACTTGGAAGTCTTCCTCATGCTGCAGCCTGCTGCTTCCTCCGGGAAGCCTTCCTGCACTTCCCTGGGTGGTCAGTTTTCTTGCTTATACGCAAGCAGGTACTTCTGCCTCACATTCAACACAGTTGCCAGCTTACATTTCTGATTGTTTTGTTTGCCTCCCCCACCACACTGTAGGCTCCACGAGGGTAGGTCATTCTCTTCACCATGTTCTCAGTACCTCACCCAGTGCCTGGCTTAGAATAGATGCTTAGGGGTAAATAAACTGCTCCCCTATCTCCTCCACAGAGGGGGCCCGAAACATCTCCAACCAGCTGAGCATTGGCACAGATATCTCGGCCCAACACCCGGAGCTTCAGACCCATGCCCAGGCCCAGGGCTGGTGGGATGGGCAGGGCACCTTTGACTTTGCTCAGGTCTTCTCCCTGACCCAGCAGCCTGTGCGCATGGAGGCTGCCAAGGCCCGCTTCCTGGCAGGGCGGGAGCTGCTGCGGCAACAGCAAGGTCAGTGAGTGGTAGAGGGGCTAAGGGCTAGGAGGGCCACAGCAGTGCCAGCCACTCTCGTCTCCCATAGCTTCCCCCTCTACTCCTTGGCAGGGGGCATCACAGCAGAGGTGATGATGGGCATCCTCAGGGACAAGGAGAGTGGCATCTGTATGGACTCGGGTGGCTTTCGCACCACCGCCAGCATGGTGTCCGTCCTGCCCCAGGATCCCACGCAGCCCTGCATGCACTTTCTCACGGCCACGCCAGACCCATCCAGGTGGGAAGAATGAGAGTGGGGAAGGTCAGTAAGAAGGGAGGATCTGATATATCTCCGTCCTTTCACCTCCATGCCCCTCTAGGTCCGTGTTCAAACCTTTTATCTTTGGGGCGGGGGTGGCCCAGGCCCCCCAGGTGCTGTCCCCCACTTTTGGAGCACAGGACCCTGTTCGGACCCTGCCCCGATTCCAGACTCAGGTAGATCGCCGGCACATCCTCTACCGTGGACACCAGGCAGCCCTGGGGCTGATGGAGAGTGATCAGGTATCCCCCAGGGAATGGGGCTACCCTGACGGGATGATAGACTCTGGAAAAATGAGGGAACCTGGGCGTGGAGGATATTCCAGAGCTGGGGAGAGGAGCTCCTCCCTTGAAATTTGGCAGCTGCTCAGGGGAATATTGGGGAGGTCTCTCTTTTCTCCTGCCTGTGTGAGGTGGTACTCTGTCCCCCCTTCACCTGGCGGGAAGTTTGTCCTGCACAGACTCATCTCAACTTTCCCTTGGGGCAGGATCGGGGGCAGCAGCTCCGGCAAAAACAGCTGGATCTGGAGCAGGAAGGCCTCAAGGCCTTACGGGGGCTGCTGGCCAGCGAGTGGGCCCCACCCTTCCAGGAACTGGGCAGCCTCTTCCAGGCCTTCGTGAAGAGGGAGAGCCAGGCTTACCTGTAAGCTTCATAGCTTCTGCTGGCCTGGGGTGGGCCTGGACCCCTGCAGCCAACTGAAGTTGGAGCAATCCCTTCACACACCTTGGCCATGTTCTGAGCAGCCAACTTGGCCTTTGCCTTAATAAATGTGCTTTATTTTCTCTTCAGTGAACTTTATCCCAGGTCCAGTGGGGGTGGGAGAGCCAAGTGAGGCCCAAAGGCAGCCCTGGGCAGGCTGCAGGGCCTGTGGTTGTGTCCTCATTCTTATGAATGGTTGAGTGATGGGGACTAGGCAGGACAGGGAGGGGACAGGAGCTGGCTGCTGCTGGGGAGGATTAGCACCACAGCTCCTTGGTCCTGGGCTCAGACCGGGGAAGGGCCCCCTCTAGGGGTGGCAGTGAGGCAGCATCCTCCATGAGGCGGTGCCCACTTCTTGCCCATGCAGGAGCCAGGAAGCCATGGGGGGGGGCCTGAGTCATGCCTGCCCTGTGGGTAGCTCCCGTAAGATTCCAGACTCGCACTTTAGAATCAGGCAGCTCACTGGGCTCTGTGTTTTGTTTCCTGGTGCTTTCACTGGTTGCTTCCCCTAAGACACCCCCAAGCGACACGAAAAGCATATTCAGGGCCTAGAGACAATTTACTGGGAATGGGCTCCTGTCACAGGTGAGGGGTCTGAGAAGGGAGGCAGGCCCCACTCCACTCATAGAGAAAGGTTCACAGAGTATCATTTCTTGCTTCTCTTGGGCGTAGTTTTGGTTGTGCTGGGGGCCCCAGCCACAGAGGCCTTGGGGGCTGTGGCTGCTCGGACCCCCTTCCTTCCCCAGAGAGAGCTTTGCTGGCTCCTGGGAACCACAGTGCATGGTTTCTTGGTGGGAGAGGAGGCCTGGGGTGAGGAGACAGCCTCAGGGAGTGTCTCCTTCCCTTCCCCAGGAGTGACAGAAGGGCTGCTGTCCCCAGCCATGGGCACCCCAGGCAGCATGAGCAGGTCGGTGAGGGCGGGCTGCATATCCATCCTCAGCAGGTGCTCCGTCAGGGCTGCGTGCTGTCGGCGCTCCCTGTGCCTGCTCAGCTCCTGCTCCAGCTCCTTAAGGAAGCCTGTGCAGGGCCGGGAGATGGAGGGTGCAAGGTGGGTGGAGCCCTGGGCTCAGCAGGAGGGTCCCTGGGCTCAGGGAGGTCTCTGGCTGGCTCCCTGCCATCCCTGGTGAGAAGGAGCCTGAGCCTGGGCCCCATGACTGACACCTGGCTCTAGCCCAGATGTTGCTCTGAACTTGGGGCTCCCCTCCCCAGACATCACTGCCCTTAGCTTCCCTCATGTCCCACAGGGCAGAGGTGGGCTCTGGGGAGGCTAAAAGCCTTGGGAAGCAGGGTTACCTCGCTCTGAGCAGAATGGGCCACTCAGCTCTGGGAACTCATCATCATTCGAGGCTTCATCCTCCTCATCTGAGATCCAGCGCTCCGACACAGGCTGCCCATCCAGGTCCAGGAGAAGTGGCAGGGCTTCTGTCACCAGCTCACTGCAGAGCAGACAGAGCAGAGGTTACCCAGGAGGGCACCCTGGCATGGAAGATGCAAAGACATGCACCACAGCACCCCTACTTGGAGGGGTGGTGGCTCATGAGCTAGGTAGGAGGTGGGGGAGAAGGTACCACAGACAGTGACCCCAGGTTTGCAGGCTGTGAGGGGCCTGGGTTGAGTTAGCAGGTGGAGCTCAGGCATGACCTTTCTTCCCACCCCCCACTCATCACCGGTAGCCATCCTGGTTGGTGCAGCTGTTTCCAGACAGGTTGAGGATAAGAAGGCTCTGGGGGAACTCATCTGTACACAGCAAAGAGAGAGGGAATGGGGTTCTCACTTGATCTTAGCCAAAAGCCCAAGAAGCGATGGGAATGGGCTTCTCATACCCACTTTCTTTTTTTTTTTTTGAGACGGAGTTTCGCTCTTGTTACCGAGGCTGGAGTGCAATGGCGCGATCTCGGCTCACCGCAACCTCCGCCTCCTGGGTTCAGGCAATTCTCCTGCCTCAGCCTCCTGAGTAGCTGGGATTACAGGCACGTGCCACCATGCCCAGCTAATGTTTTTGTAGTTTTAGTAGAGACGGGGTTTCACCATGTTGACCAGGATGGTCTCGATCTCTTGACCTCGTGATCCACCCGCCTCGGCCTCCCAAAGTGCTGGGATTACAGGCTTGAGCCACCGCGCCCGGCTCTCATACCCACTTTCTATTCCAAAGCCACTACCTCCCTACGCTGCCCCCTGAGCCCCCCAAGGATGAAGTATGGACCTTCAGAGGTGTGGCTAATACAAGCACAGGGAAATGGGCACAGACGGAAGGGCAGGCCCCACGTGGGATGTGTTTGGTGAGCCAGGGCAAGTGGGTTCCTACCCAGCTTCAAAGTTTCTATCAGGTTCTCAGAAAGGTCCAGGAACTGGAGGCACGGGAGGTCGAGGAGGTTTTCCACCTGCCTGATTTGGTTTCCTGCCAGAGACAGGAAGCTGTAGGGGAAGGAAGGGGTAGAGAGGCAGAGCTGAATCATGGAACAGCTGGAGGAGAAGAGGAGGGCACCTGACACCGGGGCCCCCAGGCGAGGCAGCTGATGACCAGTGGGGACACATGGCCTTCCGGGGTGAGGTAGAGCTAGGCTTGCTGGCCCTTGGCTGACAAGGCCCCAGGCTTGGAGAAATCTGAACCAGTTCTTTGGGGTGTGGCTGGGCTCCCCCAACCCCTCTTACCCTGCCTGAACCCTGGCATCACATACCGCAAGGAGGGGACGCAAGCAAGGTTCTCAATTTGCTGGATCTTATTCTGCAAGAAGAAACTGAGGTGGGGAAACCAAGCTGAGATCAGATGGGTAGGGGGCCCTTTACAGGGACAAAGCCCTAAGACCATGTCTACTGCAGCTGGAGATCTAGCACTTTGGGAATGATCATCCCACTCCTTGAACAGTTGCCACTACCTTAAGAAAGATGATTTTCTTTCTCCAGGTGGATGGTTAAGGGGGTAAACCTGGGGTATCTTTTTTTATTTTTGGTTGTTTTTTTAGAGAGATGGGGTTTCGCCATGTTGGCCAGCCTGAACTCAGGTGATCCACCCAACTCAGCCTCCCAAAGTGCTGGGATTATAGGCGTGAGCCACCATACCGAGCCTAAATCTGGGGAATCTAAGCCTGATTAAGTATACTCTTCTGATTCCACAACCAAAGAGTGACCTGGGAATCAGAAAAGGAAACCAAGAAGCCACCAGGGAAATGGTAAGGGCCTTGGTGGTGGCTTTCATACACAGAGAGAACGATGAGTATACCTACGTTAACTTGATGGGTACAGTTCCTATGGGGAAAGTTGAAGGGAGCTGGGAATGTTCAACCAGGGGAAGGCTGAAGATCAGCCAACCAACACCACCACCAAACAGCCTCAAGTAGGATCTGAAGGATGTAGAGGAATCTTCATAGTTTCCTCTTCCTCTTCTTCAATGCAGGAAATGGGCTGGAGCTATTTAATGTGAAAGATTTAGAGTAGCTGCCAAGAAGAACTTCTAGACCAAGAGAAGTGTCTAAAGAACAGTGATTCAAGATCATGTTCAGAATCTATTTTGGGGGAATTAGTCTTTCGATTCAGGAGAATTCTTCATTTGGGAATGGTTTAAATGAAGGCCTGCCTGCCTGAACACCGGGGAAAGGGCAAGATGACCTGGTTGGCTCCTTTCAGATAAGACAGATTAGGCCCACAGGGGTCAAGGAGAGGGGAAGGGTTGGGATTGTATGGGGTGGGGGAAGAAGTTACCCCTTGCAGATAGAGGCTGTGAAGATTCTGCAGGCCCTCTAAGTTCCTGATAGTAGTAATCCCCTCCCGGTCCAGGCGGACAGTCTGCAGTTCAGCAAGAGTGTGAAACCTGGGAGAAGAGTCAGTAAGGTGGTGTTACAGCGCCACTCATGTGGTCTCTTAGCGGGGAGAATGGTAGAGAGGGAGGAGGGAAGGGGTTTCAGGGAGGGGTAGTTGACCCAGTGATTCTGATCAGATGTAAGTTACATCTTGACATCTTGAGGTGGTGTCTAGATCATGAAACTGGCTTGACTTGCAGACTTGGATCTCTGTTGTTAGCACTGGGGAGGGTGAGAGAGAGGACTAATGGCCCACTGGGAAGTTGGGGGATGGCAGCTTATAGTTCCTGGAGAGATTTGGAGGCAAGAGAAGCTTTCCTCTGGCCAGCTTGAATGGTGGAGGCAGGGGTGGGACAGAGTGTAGAAAGATCCTTCCTCACCTTCATTTTCAGTGGTTCATGGAGGAAAAAGCACTTGTTTCATCCACGCATTCATTCATTCCACAACCTTTGCTGAGTGCCTACTTGAGACAAATGACACAGTCCCTGCCTACCACTATTAGAGAAGCAGGGAAGGCTGGCTATGGTGGCTCACCCTGTAATCCCAGCACTTTGGGAGGCCAAGGCAAGAGGATCACTTGAGCCCAGGAGGTCGAGGCTGCAGTGTGCCATGATTGTGTCACTGCACTTCAGCCTGGGTGACAGAGCAAGACCATATGTCATTAAAAAAAAAAAAAAAAAAAAAAAGAAGGCTGGGCATGGTGGCTCACGCCTGTAATCCCAGCATTTTGGGAAGCCAAGGCAGGCAGATTGCCTGAGGTTAGGAGTTTGAGACCAGCCTGGCTAACATGGTGAAACCCATTTTTGTAAAAATACAAAAAAATTAGCCTGGCATGGTGGCACACACCTGTAGTCTTAGCTACATGGGAGGCTGAGGCAGGAGAATCGCTTCAACCTGGGAGGCAGACGTTGCAGTGAGCCGAGATCCTACCACTGCACTCCAGCCTGTGTGACAGGGTGAGACTCCATCTCAAAAAAAAAGAAGCAGCAGCAGGCCAAACATCTATGACAAGTGGGTAACAGAGGCAAGTACAGGGGACAAAGGGAGTATGTAGCCTGTGCACTAAGTTCAGAGTAGAAGGAATCAGGGAATACTTCCTAGAGGAGGTGACAGATGAGTAGGCATTAGCCATGAAGATAGGGGGATATGGGAAGAAAGCATTTCAAAGGGAACTCTAATATGCCCATGCAGATTCTAATTCAGTAGATCGGGGGAGGGGCTGAGATTCTCCACTTCTAACAAGCCACACGGTGATACCAATGCTGCTGCCCTACCCCTGCACCCCTTCACACGTACTCCAAGTAGTAAGGTATTAAGGTGTGATAACACAGTGTGGGAAATTGTACGCTTGTGGAGAGTGGCCAGAAATAAGACTGAAAAGCTAGCAGAAGTCAACTCATGCTTAGGCATTGGGATTTTATTTGGGAGGTAATAGCCAAGAAAGTTTCTATCAGTGAGTGCCTGATTAGATTTGTTATTTAAAAGGATCACTGGCTACTCAGAAGGCTGAAGTAGGAGGATTGTTTGAGGAGTCAAGACTGGTCTGGCCAACAGAGCAAGACCCTGTCTCTAAAACAGTAATTAAAAATACTTTATTTTTTGTTTGTTTGTTTTAGAAATAGGGTCTCACCCTGTTGCCCAGGCTGGCATGCAATGGCATGATGATAGCTTACTGCAGCCACAGATACCTGGGCTCAAGTGATCCTCCTGCCTCAGCCTCCCAAGTGGCTAGGACTACAGGTGTGCACCACCATGCTCAGCTAATTTACTTTTATTTTTAGAGATAGGATTCTCATTCTATTGTCCAGGCTGGTCTCAAACTCCTGGGCTCAAGCGATCCTCCTGCCTCAGCCTCCCAAAGTGCTGGGATTATAGGAAAGAGGTGAACACGACCTTATCTAAGGCAGTTAAGTGAGGATGGTGGGAAAAAAAATGGATTTTTTTTTTTTTTTTTTTTTTGGGACAGAGTCTCACTCTTTTGCCCAGGCTAGAGTGCAGGGCCACAATTTCGGCTCACTGCAACCTCCGCCTCCCAGGCTCCGGCGATTCTTGTGTCTCAGCCTCCCAAGTAGCTGGGATTACAGGCGCCCGCCACCACGCCCAGCTAATTTTTGTATTTTTAGTAGAGATGAGGTTTTGCCATGTTGGCCAGGCTGATCTCAAACTCCTGACCTCAAGTGATCCGCCCACCTCGGTCTCCCAAAGTGCTGGGATTACAGGCATGAGCCACCATGCCCGGACAGAAATGGAATTATTTTTAAGGAGGGAAAATCAACTGGGCATTACCACTGATTGGATGTGTGGAGTAAGTAAGGAGAGACACAAAGATCAGTTGACAAATAAGTACAGCCCAGGGACCTGGTCATCCTGAGTGTTTCAGCCTTCTAGCATCCCTTTCCTCCCCAATGAACTCACATCTTCTCTGACAGTTCCTCATCCTCAGGGAAAGTCAAGTTCCGCTTAGTGATAAGGGCTTCAGTGATGCAGACGCCCCCTTCCTCTGGACCCTGGGCAGACTTAGCTGTGAAAAGATGAGTCCAACAGTCACATTTCCTCATTCTTGGAGGCCTAACCCCACTGTTTTCCAACTGCTCTACCCACTGTCTCACCTCCATACTCACCTCCAGCCATGAACTAAAATAAAAGGCTGCTGGTCTGAGGCTGGAGAAGAAATGAAAAGGAGCCTAGCAGCCTGGGCGGTCCCTAAGGGTGGCGGGAACCCAGGATGGCAGGAGGAGAGAGAAACTCAGAGACCTGGGAGACGAGGAAATGGGATTGATTCAGAGAAAATTCCTGGGGTGAGGTCAAAGAGAACAGTAAATTGATGTGAAGGGTCTGGAGTTTGAGGGGTGTGGAGGGGCTTTGCTGGCAGCAAGTTGGGGTGTTGTGGGCAGGAATGGTTGAGAAAGGAGCAGCTCCTAGGAAGCCGGAGTCGTTGCTAGGAGATTGGACGCCGAGTGGGGCGGTAAACGCAGGCTCCGTTGGCCGGCTCAGCGCATGCGTGCTAGAAACGTAGCCGGCGGGTAAGCGCACTGCTTCCGGCCCCAGGGTTCGCTACCCCACAATCCTTAGCTATTTCCGTCTTCTTTCGGCTTCCGTCCATCCTTCCGGTGGATATGGCTGCAGCTGTGGCGGGGATGCTGCGAGGGGGTCTCCTGCCCCAGGCGGGTAAGGAGTGACTCAGGTCCTCACGGCGTGTCTTGCCGGCGATCTCTAGTCCTCATCTGCCCTCCTCTACTACTGATTCTTCCCATAATCTCTGACCCCAGCTAGATCGCTGGCCTCCTCACCCTGTCCAGTTCCTTGTGCTCCAGACTCTGGTAATCACAGCAACAACGTCCAGCTGTTGCCAGTCTCCAGCGTTTCTTTTGCTTGGACCACTCCTCGTCCAGGCCTTTGCATTATGCCTCCATCTTAATGTCTCATCCTAAGTGTCACCTTCTCAAGTCTTTCCTTGACTCCTTAGCTGCGTCGCAATCTAATTTTGCATTCGTTTAGTTGTTTATTTCCTCTATTAAACTCCTTAAGGGCAGAACCGTGTTCATTCAGCATAGCCAGCAGGTGACATTTAGGCTGAGACATTAAGATGGAGGTGCTTGATGTTAGTAGGTGTGTAATAAATATTTGTTTAATGAATAGATTTGAACACTTAATATAGGCCAGGCACTGTGATAACTGTTTTTATATGTGTTCGCTCATTTAAATCTTTTAAATCATTTAAATCTAAAGCACCCTGTGAGAAAGACATTCCCATCTCCCCTTTACAGACGTAGCAACTGGAATTCAGACCAGTTGGGTGGCCAAGGTCACAGCTATTAAGTGGCGGAAGAGAGATTAAAATCCAGTTTCGGCCGAGTGCAGTGGCTCACGCCTGTAATCCCAGCACTTTGGGAGGCTGAGGCGGGCGGATCACCCGAGGTCAGGAGTTCGAGACTAGCCTGGCCAACATGGTGAAATCCCACCTCTGCTCAAAATACAAAAATGAGCCGGGTGTGGTGGTGCACATCTGTAGTCCCAGCTACTCGGGAGACTGAGGCATAAGAATCGCTTACAACTGGAAGACAGAGGTTGCAGTGAGCCGAGATCTCACCACTGCACTCAAGCCTGGGTGACAGAGTGAGACTGTCTAAAAAAAAAAAAAAAAATCCAGCTTCATTTGATTTCAAAGCGTGCCTACAGTCTTTTGAGACGGAGTTTCGCTCTTGTTACCCAGGCTGGAGTGCAATGGCGCGATCTCGGCTCACCGCAACCTCCGCCTCCTGGGTTCAGGCAATTCTCCTGCCCCAGCCTCCTGAGTTGCTGGGATTACAGGCACGCGCCACCATGCCCAGCTAATTTTTTGTATTTTTAGTAGAGACGGGGTTTCACCATGTTGACCAGGATGGTCTCGATCTCTTGACCTCGTGATCCACCCGCCTCGGCCTCCCACAGTGCTGGGATTACAGGCTTGAGCCACCGCGCCCGGCCACCTACAGTCTTAACGGTTAGGTTTTGTAGCTGCTGGCAATAAGACCTCTTACTCCAGCAAATGTCCATACCCTCTTATTGCTAGAGCTGCCTTTTATCTGGACCATTTTCTGAGGTCACATCTCAGCCTTGGGAATGGCTGAAAGTTGGAAGTTCTAGTCTGTGTTGAGGATGAAGGGGTCACTTTGGCTCAGGGCTTTTAAGTGCCTCGTTTACTGTGGGGTGCTGTGTAGCATTGCCTGTAAACAGGAAGAGAGGAGGAAAGAGAAACTTGTTTGAGCTGTGAGGATGGTGTAACTTTTTTTCTCCTCTTCAAATCATAGGAGAGGATGTCACAGTAGTAGTTAGAGCAGTGGTTTTCAAACTTTAGCATGTGTCAGCATCACCAGGAGGGCTTGTTAAGACACCATTTGTGACCAGCCTTGGTAACAGTGAAACCTGGTCTCTACAAAACAAAACAAATAAACAGCACACTATTTTTTGGGCTCCACCCTAGAGTTAGGCTCTACCCCAGAGTTGCTGATTCAGTAGGTCTAGTCAGGGCCTGAGAATTTATATTCCTTTTTTTCTTTTTTTGAGAGTCTTGCTGTCACCCAGGCTGGAGTGCAGTGGCACAATCTCGGCTCACTACAACCTCTGCCTCTTGGGTTCTAGCAATTCTCATGGCTCAGCCACACAAGTAGTTGGGATTACAGGTGTGCGCCACCATGCCTGGCTAATTTTTGTACTCCAGTAGAGATGGGGTTTTGCCATGTTGGCCAAGTTGGTCTTGAATTCCTGACCTCAAGTGAGCTGCCCACTTCAGCCTTCCAAAGTTCTGGGATTACAGGCGTGAGCCACCACACACAGCAAAATTTCTACTTATAACCAGTTCTCAAATGATGCTGATGTTGCTGGTTGGGTTGGAGGCGGGCATATCTTGAGAGCCACTAGATTAGACCAGGGGTTGGCATATTATGGCAGGGCCAGTCACTGTGTTTTATAAAGTTTTATTGGTACATAGCTTCTGCTATCTGTTTACGTACTGTCTGTGGCTGCTTTTGGCAGAGTTGGGTATTAGAGAAGGATTACATGGGCCCCAAACTTAAAATATTTACTATTTGACCATTTTGAGAAAAAGTGTATTCAATTCTATCCTCCTTCCCTCCACTTTTTTTTTTTTTTTTTTTTTTTTTTTTTTTTGAGATGGAGTCTTACTCTGTTGCCCAGGCTGGAGTGCAGTGGTGCAATTTTGGCTCACTGCAACCTCTGCCTCTCAGGTTCAAGCGATTCTCCTGCCTCAGCCTCCTGAGTAGCTTGGATTACAGACACACGCCATCATGCCCAGCTAATTTTTGTATCTTTAGTAGAGATGGGTTTTCGCCATGTTGGCCAGGCTGGTCTCAAACTCCTGACCTCAAGTAATCCAACCCACCTCGGCCTCCCAAAGTCTTGGGATTACAGGCGTCAGCCACTGCCTCCGGCCACCTCTTTTCTTAATGTGTTCAAAATATTTTCTCCTTTCTTCTCATTTTTTTCTTGCATTTCTGCACATTAAGAATAGCTGGAGGCTGGATGCAGTGGCACACACCTGTAATCCCAGCACTTTGGGAGGCCGAGGTGGGCAGATCACTTGAGGTCTAGGGTTTGAGACCAGCCTGGTCAACATGGAGAAACTCCGTCTCTACTAAAAATACAAAAAATTAGCTGGTCATGGTGGCACGTGCCTATAATCCCAGCTACTTGGGAGGCTGAGACAGAAGAATCGCTTGAACCCAGGAGGCAGAGGTTACAGTGAGCTGAGATCACGCCACTGCACTCCAGCCTGGTGAGAAAAAAAAGAAGAGCTGGAGAAATGGGAGCCTCGAGGTATTAAGTAATTGACCACAGGTCACTTACTGAGAGAAGAGAAGCTTTGGAAATTCAGAATTTTTGGCAGACAAATCCTTGTCCCACTGTTGTGCTGAGTCTAGCTCTGTGAGCTGTGGTTTTCTTTCCTAGGGAGTGTTTTTTCTCTATCTAGGATAAACTAGGGCCTCCAAGAGGTTGCATCTAAGGATGCTGCTATATACCCTCCCAGGTCAGCTGCCCACCCTCCAGACCGTCCGCTATGGCTCCAAGGCTGTTACCCGCCACCGTCGTGTGATGCACTTTCAGCGACAGAAGCTGATGGCTGTGACTGAATATATCCCCCCGAAACCAGCTGTCAACCCAACATGCCTGCCATCTCCTCCCAGCCCCCCACAGGAAGTAAGGAAGAGTTTGGGTACATGTTACTTGGTGGTGGGATGGTGGATGAAAGTAATCTTGTCTCTGGCCATAGTGAGGTACGACTCTCAGTCATTGTCACTCATGTGATATTTCACTTTGCCTGATTCAGATACTTTAAGATGAAATCTGCACTTGATTCTATATTGGCTTTTGGGCTCTGGATTGGACGGGCCTCCTGAATTTCCTTGTCTTCAAAAATGTAGATGTGAGAGCTACCCTAGCAGGTACGGCTGGGGAGAGTATCTCTCCTATCTTTTTTTTTTTTTTTTTGAGACAGTGTCTCATTTTGTCACCCAAGCTGGTAGCAGTGGCACATTCTCGGCTCACCACAACCTCTGCCTTCTGGGTTTAAGCAATTCTTCTGCCTTAGGCTCCTGAGTAACTGGGATTACAGACGCGTACTACCATGCCCAGCTAATTTTTGTATTTTTAGTAGAGACAGAGTTTCACTATGTTGGCCAGGCTGGTCTCAAACTCCTGGCCTCAAGCAATCCACCTGCCTTGGCCTCCCAAAATGCTGAGATTACAGGCATGAGCCACTGTGCCCAGCCAAATGTCTCAATTTGAAACTAACACCGCACAACAGTTATATTTATGATTGGTAAAATAATTCAACGTGAGTATAGTGCCAGATTGATAATTGAAGTAATTTTGACAATATTATTGTCAAGCACTGTTGACACTATTGTCAGACTGTAGACCTGTTTTTGGGGGAGTGGAACTGAGCATTCTCAGGTTTGGAAAACACTGCTAAAGACTGCGAATATCTAATGAAAGTGAAAGGCTAGAGGAGTGGGAGATGTTACATGTCCCTGAGAGTCGGGGGCCCAATTATCCTACTTGTTCCCTGATCTTTTGCGCATTTGGGGATCCCTGGAAGCCCTAGAACCTACCACAGAGGGAGCAAGGTTGCCAGGAGAAGTGACAGCTGATAAACCTTTGGGCATCGCTTTCTAACTTCAGGAGACAGGCCTCATCAGGCTTCTCCGCCGGGAGATAGCAGCGGTTTTCCAGGACAACCGAATGATAGCTGTCTGCCAGAATGTGGCTCTGAGCGCAGAGGACAAGCTTCTTATGCGACACCGGCTGCGGAAACACAAGATCCTAGTGAAGGTCTACCCCAACCAGGTAGGGAGTGGGCCCCTTGGCATGGGTTGCGTATGTTCCCCCAAACCCCACCAGACCTCAGACCTCACCATCTGTTCCCCAGTGATGATACTTCTTACTCCTCCCCTCTGTGAGCCACCCTTCGGTTGTACCCTCAGCCTAGTGTGGCCCATGACCCACGTGGTGGCTCTTCCTCCCACTTGTCCCTGATAAGCCATTTTTTTATGCTGTCCCAGGTCCTGAGGCCTTTCCTAGAGGATTCCAAGTACCAAAATCTGCTGCCCCTTTTTGTGGGGCACAACATGCTGCTGGTCAGTGAAGAGCCCAAGGTCAAGGAGATGGTACGGATCTTAAGGACTGTGCCATTCCTGCCGCTGCTAGGTGAGCAAGCAACCCTGCCAGTTAGGGGTGGGGTGAAGAGGGGCAGGTGCTGCGGCAGCCTGCTGCCATCTGCTAGGCTTGTCTTGGTAAAACTGTGGACATTCTTGGAGAGAACATCCTTTCATGGATGGGGCCTGAGTCAACAGCACGTTTATTGAGGGCTGTCATTCAGACATTTGTGTTGTCTCACTACCCCAGGTCACTTCTGCACTGGAGGGAAGACTAGGGAAGGCAGACATGGAACGGGGGGAGAAAATTCAGATGCATTGAGTCTAACAGTGGGGTGGCAGATGCTGAAACCCATACAGATGACGATGTTTAAAACAGGTAGCCCAAGTCAAGAGTGCTGAGGGCAAGTGACCAGTGTTTCCCAGACTGCCCTAATGCTGACTTACTTAAGGGATAGAGAATACTGCATGTGTCCCCTGGAAATCAAGATTTCATAGGGCTCTGTAGGGAGGGGGCGGGATAGGAATCTGATTATTATTATTATTTTTTTGAGAGTCTCACTCTGTCGCCCAGAATGGAGTGCAGTGGTGCAATCTGGCTTCACTGCAATCTCTGTCTCCTGGGTTCAAGCAATTCTCTTGCCTCAGCCTTCCGAGTAGCTGAGATTACAGGTGCCTGCCACTAGGCCCAGCTAATTTTTTTTGTACTTTTAGTAGAGATGGGGTTTCACCATGTTGGTCAGGCTGATTTTGAACTCCTGACCTCAGGTGATCCTCCTGCCTCGGCCTCCCAAAGTGCTGGGATTATAGGCGTTAGCCACCGCGCCTGGCGAATCTGTGATTTTAATACCCCCTCCACACTCCATGATATTTATTCAACTTTTTAATCATAAAGTACACGTAACATAAAATTTACCATCTTAACCATTTTAAGTGTACGGTTCAGTGTTAAGTAAATTCATAATGCTATACAACCTCACCGCCATCCATCTCTAGAACGTTTCATCTTCTAAAATTGAAACTATACCCGTTAAACAATAGCTCCCATTACTTCCTTCCATTCCATGATTCAGGGTCTCACTCTCATTGCCCATGCCAGAGTGCAGTGGACCGGTCATGGCTCACAACAGCCTGGACCTCCTTGGCTTAATCCATCCTCCCACCTTAACTTCCTGAGTAGCTGGGACTATAGGCACATGCGACCATGCCTGGCTAATTTTTGTATTTTTTGTGGAGGTGGGGTTTCACCATGTTACCCAGGTTGGACTTGAACTGCTAGGCTCAAGCAATTCTCCTGCCTTGGCCTCCAGAAGTGTCGGGATTATGGGTGTTAGCCTTGGCCTCCAGAAGTGTTGGGATTATAGATGTTAGCCACTGCACCCAGCCTGATTTTTTTTTTTTTTTTTTTTTTTTTAATTGAGATGGAGTTTTGTTCGTGTCACCCAGGCTGGAGTACAGTGGCACGATCTTGGCTCACTGCAGCCCCTTCCTCCCGGGTTCAAGGGATTCTCCTGCCTCAGTCTTCTGAGTAGCTGGGATTACAGGTGCCTGTCACCATTCCTGGCTAATTCTTGTGTTTTTAGTAGAGGTAGTGTTTACCATGTTGGCCAGGCTTGTCTCAAACTCCTTACCTCAGGTGATCCACCTACCTCAGCCTCCCAAAGTGCTGGGATTACAGGCATGAGCCACTGCACCTGGCCGCCTAATTCTTATTTACAGGGAAGTTTAGGAAACACTAAATGGGAGTCGGGGCCAGGTGGATACATTAAGAGTTTTCTGAGGGAAGAGTGAGGAAGTAGGGATTGATCTCAAGAGAGTGGGAGTGGCATGGGCACAGTGGAACCCAGGTCCTGGGGAAGGCAGGATTTTGACAAGGGCAATGGAAAGCAAATTCCTAGAGTCAGAATGTTGTTTCAGAGAAGAAAGGCATCTGCAAGGAACTGAACTGATCCTGTTTTCTTCCAGGTGGCTGCATCGATGACACCATCCTCAGCAGGGAGGGCTTTATCAACTACTCCAAGCTCCCCAGCTTGCCCCTGGTGCAGGGGCAGCTTGTAGGAGGCCTCACCTGCATCACGGCCCAGACCCACTCCCTGCTCCAGCACCAGCCCCTCCAGCTGACCACCCTGTTGGACCAGTACATCAGACAGCAACGCGAGGATTCTGTTGTGTCAGCCAATGGGAAGCCAGATCCTCCTGACCATGTTCCAGACTCGTAGCCAGCCTGTTTAGCCAGCCCTGCCTATAAATACACTCTGCCCTATTGGCTGTGCTGTCCTCCATGGGAGATGTGGAAGAACCTGGGGTGAGGGAGTGCATTTGTCATTTGGGTTTCACTAACAATGATATTGTCAAGTATAGGCCACTCTGAGATGCGGAGGATTCCATTTCAAATGGAGGCTGTCAGTCACTGGTTTTGTCCTTAGTTTTCCCAACTTGGGACCTGATAGGAGCAAAGTCTCTCTCCATTCTCCAGGTCCAAGGCAGAGATGCTGAAAAGAGAAGGCTATTACCCCATGCCTCCTTGGTCACTGCCCCTTGCTGCATGGGCTCCTGAGCCCACCCTCTTGAATCACAACCTGCCACTGCCATAGTAGCTCAACCAAGCAGCCGTGCTGAGGATGGCACCTGGTGAGAGCCTGCTGTGTGCCAGGCTCCATGCTGAACACTGTACATGTATTAGTTCCTGAACTCCTGACCACATGGTACCCATTTCACAGAGAAGGAACAGAGAAATTAAGTAGCTTGCACAAGGTCATGCATTTAGTAAGTGGTAGAACAGGAACTTGAACCAGGCCCTCTCTGCTCTGAAGACTGCATCCTGAATTTCTACACTGGAGCTTCCTCATCAGGCTACCCAGAAGTGGGTCCCATCTTCCATCTTGGTGTGCTTGGATGTTAGTTCTCCACCCTTGGGGTGTGCCATGCTGTGGAAAGATTGGGAGCACTGCTTTATGCTCAAATGAAATGCATTCTACTTCCTCTGTTTCATGGTTTCCACAGCTGTCCTCCCTATAGACTTATTCTCAGGGGCTTCTCTGTCCTCTGACTCCTCACTCTCACTTCCCTTCCTAGGAAAATCCTTTTCCCCTGTACCTGTTGCCACAGTGGCATCCAGTGCATGCTTGCCCTGTTAAAGGCAGCTGACAGCTGTGCCTACTAGCTAGCAAGTCTGGTGGTTCTGAACAAAAGGGCTGGGGGAAACTAGGATTCTCTGTGAATTCTGAGGGCTCTAGAGTAGGAGGCCTCATGCAAGTCTTGGTGAACCAGAAGTTCCTAAAAAGGAAGATAGGATGCTTAATTCGAAGCGCACCGTCCTCGATTGGAGCACATTCTGGGTGGATGCAGGGATGACCCGGGGATGGTGGCTATTCAACATTCCTTCTTGGGGTTGAAGCAATACCACCGCTTCCTTAGTCTTGGACAGGCACTGTCTGGCAGGGATGATCTACATCAGCTTTTTTGTGGCCTGGGCCAGGACCAGCTTCCCACAGTGCCTCTCCCTGTGCTGTATGCCCAGGGATGTTCAATCACTGGGAAGTGGCTTAAAAGGCCCTTGAGTCTCCTAGATGCCAGAGCTTGTCTGGCCAGTGCTGCCCAGTGCTCCTTAGCAGCTTTATCCCTCCCAGAACCCTGCCAGGTGCTAACAACACCTTCCTTCTGGGGTGGCTGGAGCAATGCTGAGGCTCTGAATAGAGCCAAGACAGCAGGTGTCCCCGAGAGATATGTGAGACCCTGAAACATAAACCAAGCCCAGTGAGGATGAAGTGGAGGGGATAAGTGGCCTATGTCACTTTTGGGGTCGGAGAAGAAACTTGAATCTCATCCCTCACCTGAGGCCCCACCTACTTCTTTCCAGAACACTTTGCTGCACTTAAAGCTGTAAGGTCTGTGCCACATTCATTTGAATGAATTTTAGATCTTTGTTAAGAGCCGATTTTTCATTAGAATTGAGCAGCTGGGCACAGTACTTCAGCAGAAGGGCAAAGGGAAGTGAGGGGACCAGTGTTACAGCCCTTTTAACAGCAGCTGTGACTGCCCCAGGCCTGCTCCTGATCGAACACTGTAGGCTGTGGGGTGTCATCGACCGCACAGGCATTTTCAGATCCCCATGGGGCCTGACCTGGTGGGAAATCACCCCTAATGAAAGGCCTCAGTGTGGGGACTACTGGCTGTCCCCCTCCTGACTTGACCGGCCCTGCTGACTGTGCTCTTTGGCACTCTCTTATGGTCCCGGAGGGGGCATCTGTCCCTGTACCGTCAACCTGATACTTTTGCTGGCTCCAAATTTTGCAGTCTATTTTCAGATGTAAAATGAGAGATGAGGGTGGGAGGGTTAGTTAGGAATTGGCCTTGGGCACTAACAGGGTCATTGCCATGCTAATCTGAATAAATCCTTTACCACCATTGGCATACAGCCAGCAGTTTCCCAGTCCTCTGATCTATCTGGAACTATGCCCAGTGGGGACTGTGCCCCCGCTCCCAAGCCACAACCATGCTAGGGCAGTCTGCTTAGCCCTGAGTCCTCCGGGGAGCAGGGGGGCAGAGCTGAGCGGCTGCCCAGAGCTTGGCAGGAGGAGGGGACAGGGGAAAGGGAGGTGGGGAGATCCGGCTAGAGGGGAGGCTCCGACGTCTCCTTCCTGGTTCCTGCAGCAACTGCTGCCACTGCTCATCTCCGTGAGGAGGGAGCCGGTGACTTGGAGCTGGTGACTCAGAGGCAGAGCGGCGTGAGGGCCAAGGAGCACTGGCGTCCATGGACCCTGAGGTAAGGGGGCTGCGTGGCAGCAGCTGACATTCCTGGAGAAGAGCTTCCTCCCACCTGAAGCTGGTGAGTCTGCTTCCGAGATGGTGGGAATGGAGGTGGAGAGGGGCACCCACCAGACTCGCCTAGACCCCTCACCTTCCTGCTGATAGAGCCTCCCCCTCCACCCGCAAGCAGTGAGGGGCCAGGATCCCCACAGGGCCGGGAGAAGGGCGCAGAGACACCCGAATACCGGAAGAGTTTGGGAACTTTCAATGGCTGAATGCAGGAGTTTCCTCCCAGGTCAGCCTCTTGCAGCAAGGTCCCTCTGCCCTGACCTCCTGGGCACTTGTTCCTACCACATCCCTGTCCCCTCTTGGCTTAAGTTCCTCAGGTGCTTGCTAGCTGCATTAGAAGATCTGGGCTGCTTCCCCCACCTCAGCCAGCCTCGCCCCTCAGTCCCTTCCCCCGTCTCACACACGCAGAGCCTCATGCATTATTGATCTCCCGGAGGAGCCAGGATAGCCAGGGCCGGTGCCAAGGGTGCCTGTGGGCACTGCTGCAGGACCTGTGCAGACCTGGGCATGTCCTGGGCCCCCTCTTCTCTTGTGCAGTGTCTTCATTAGCCCAGTGTCCTGCCCTCTCGGGGTGGGTGGCACTTCTCAGAGCCCTAAGGACTGGGATGGTAGACGGGATGGTGAGGCTTTAGGGGGCACTGAGGGTCCAAAGAGGGCATCCTAGGGACATATTTGGTGGGAGGAGACATGGGAAAGTGGGGGCTATCTCAGGCCTCAGTTTCTCCAAACACTAAAGAATATGGAGACCAATCGGTGGGAGGCTGGGGCATTTTCTGCAAAGGGATCATGGGAGAGAAGCCTCTGAGCCATGGTGGCAGGGCGGAGGGGTACTGAGGGCAAGGCAGCTGGATTCAGGAGGTCTCACTTGTCCAGTCTCTGAACCCCTCTGTCTCTTCTTGGAGCCTCTTCTGTCACTCCCTTGCTTCACCTCTGAGCACTCCCAGGGAAGCCTCCAAAGAAAGCCCTGAAGGTTTCCTGGAGCCCCAGAGTATGTGCCCAAGGCGGGGCTGGGCATATGTCTTGTTTCCCTGGGCACCTGCCCGTCTGCTGTGTGCTAGTTCACCTCTCAGGGCAATATCCATATCGGGTGAAAATGGGTGGGGTTGGAGCAGAGGGGCAGAGTTAGGAGAGGCGTGGCAGATGAGCAGAGGGTGTGTTGAGAGCCCTTATATCAGAGGGTGCGGGAGGGGTTGGAGGTGGGGAAGGTGATAGCAGGTCTGCATTAAGGGGGTCTTTCTTTTGCTTCAAGGACCCTGTCAGGACCAGGTGACATCCTTCCCCTTCCACCCTGCTCCCTGCTCTTCGTCCTCAGCAGGGAGCAGCCTCTCCCTTCTCCATGGACTTCCAAGAGAGGGATCCTCCCTTCCTGCCTGAGAGCGCTCAGTCCTCAAAGCCCAGCAGTGCTCAGCAGGTCAGAGAGTGGGAAAGTGGTGGGTGGGCCAAGCTTGATCCAGACCGGGATGGCTGAGGCTGATGTCTCACCAGTGCTCTCCTTCCTCTGTCCTGCACTGCAGGCCTCTGAGCTGTGGGAGGTGGTGGAGGAGCCTCAGGGCAGGCTGGGGACAGAGGGTGTCATGCCTGAGAGGCAGGAGGGCCACCTGCTCAAGAAGAGGAAGTGGCCTCTGAAGGGCTGGCACAAGGTAGGGCGGGCAGGCAGAGGGAGGGGCCACACATGGCGGCAGGTGGGAATGGGGGCAGCTGCTGGGGAGTGCAATAGGGTTTGCATGATGAGAAGGGAAGGAAAAGCCGATCTGTGTGGTTCTCCCTCATGTCCTTCCTCTCGGCCTCCCCGGTCCTGTCACTCCTGGGCAACATCAAAGAGATACTTTGTGCTGGAGGACGGGATTCTTCACTATGCAACAACCCGGCAAGATGTGAGTCTGGGTGGTGGCTTGGGGTTGTGGGAGGAGTCTGGCCCTAGCATGCCCCGGGCAGGCATGGGGTATCTGGAATCAACCAGAGTAGGATCCGAATCCTAGGTCCTCCACTCACCGAATGTGTGATCTTGGGCAAGTTACATCCCTGGGCTGTAGCTTCCTCCTCTCTAATTGGAGAGTACCATCCCCTAGAGGCAGAGCTGTCATGCTAAGGGAGGTCATACACACAAGGCTCTCTGGACAGGGCAGAATAAGTGCCCAAGAGGGGCTTTACCACCCTCATCCTGGTCCCATTCTCAGTCTGGGAACAATGGGCCCCCAGGATCTCTCCCAGAGGGTATTGCCTTCCACAACCCTTCCACATTCCCTGAGGGTGGGAATCGTTTTTCTTGATCTGTGACATATTTTGTAATTTTTTTTTTTTTTTTTTTGAGACAGAGTTTCACTCTTGTTGCCCAGGCTGGAGTGCAATGGCGTGATCTCAGCTCACTGCAACCTCCAGGTACCGGGTTCAAGTGATTCTCCTGCCCCTGCCTCCCGAGTAGCTGGGATTACAGGCATGTGCCACCATACCTAGCTAATTTTGTATTTTTAGTAGAGACAGGGTTTCTCCATGTTGGTCAGGCTGGTCTCGAAGGTGATCTATCTGCCTCGGCCTCCCAAAGTGCTGAGATTACAGGCGTGAGCCACCGTGCCTGGCCTAATTTTGTATTTTTAGTAAAGATGGAGTTTCTCCATGTTGGTCAGGCTGGTCTTGAACTCCTGACCTCAGATGATCCACCCACCTCGGCCTCCCAAAGTGCTGAGATTACAGGCATGAGCCATCATGCCTGGCCCGATCTGTGACTTCTTAGATCTCAAGATGTGACTTGACATAGCGGAGTGTTCTGTACATGGGAGGATGACTGACAAGTCTCTACTGATAGTGTGACTTAGACGTGAGAGTGAACCTGCCACCTGGCCCTTGAGCCTAGAATGGCCTGAGGTAGATGGTGGCTCTATGGCTCTGGGAGCCTAAAACAGGTTCCCTGTCCCCCGACCAATGCGTCCTCCCCAGATCACCAAGGGGAAGCTTCACGGCTCCATCGATGTCCGGCTGTCAGTCATGTCCATCAACAAAAAGGCCCAACGCATTGACCTTGACACTGAAGATAACATCTACCACCTCAAGGTGATATCCCTGGGAGGCAGGGCGTGTGTTGGCCCCCAGCCTGGCAAAGGCACTGGAACACACAGGGGCAGGAACTGAGGGTTTGTGGAGCTCAGGGTCTGTCTCTGAGTTTGACAAGAAGTAAGTTTCCATCCTGTAAAAACAGCCAAGGGCAAACCTGCACTTCTTGGCTGTTGCATGGACAGGCACAGAGCTAAGGGCTCAGACACGTGGACACCTTACACTCTGTCTCCCTGCAAGTGAGCTTTGCACAAACTGGACTCTGTAGGAAGAGACCCTGCTTGCCTGGGGCCAGGGCCCTGACTTCATGCTCTTGCAAAGTGGTCCCTCCCTTCAGATAGCCCTCCCCCCGTCCATCACTTCTGCAGATCAAATCCCAGGACCTATTCCAGAGCTGGGTGGCCCAGCTGCGTGCCCACCGCCTGGCCCACCGCCTGGACATGCCCCGTAGCACACTGCCCAGTACCACTCACCGGAAGGTAAGGTGGACCCTGGGGTGGGAGCAGGTAACATGACAATGCAGGGGCAGGGGCTGTGGGGAACTGTGAGACCCAGGGAGGTGGGCACCCTCCTTCCTGACCCTGGGCTCACCCCACAGGTTCCTGGTGCCCAGCTTCCAACAGCAGCTAGTGCTTCAGCCCTACCTGGGCTTGGACCGAGAGAGAAGGTGTCTTCCTGGCTGAGGGACAGTGACGGGCTGGACCGCTGCTCTCATGGTGAGGGGCCCTTGGCACAGCAGCCCAAAGGGTAGGGCCAGAGCTGGCAAGTCGAGTTAGCATTAGCAGGAGGGGAAAATGCTACCCCCATCCCCATCTCAGGGAGCCCCAGTATAATGAGGCAGCCTCTGTACAAGGAGATCCAGTCTACTTGGGCCCTGTCCTGGGAGTCCCAGTCTTACAGAGGAGTAAGAGTCTGTCTGGGCACGTAGATGACGTGGATGCAGGGACAGGAGTTGTGACAAAGCAGATACTGGGGCACATAGGGCAGGGGCCTGAGGAGTAGTGCCAGGGAAGGGGTGTGCTCTAGAATCCGATTCCTGCAGTAGGGAGCTGTGAGGCTGGCCTGGAGGGAGAAACGTAAACCAAGTAGAAAGGGTGAGCATACCCCAGCTTGTGCAAAGGCAGCAGAGGTGAGGCATGGTCTAGAGACAGAATAGAAATTGGGCTTCAGGCCCTCCCAGGAAATCAGGGGACACCACACTAACAGGGATAGGGACCTGAGCTCTTGAGCAGGGAACGGGAGCAGTGTCAGGATCACCATGAAGTTAGTGTTGGGAGAGACATGTCCTTGAGGCTGGGCTCAGTGGCTAACACCTGTAATCCCAGCACTTTGGGAGACTGAGGCAGATGCATCACCCGAGATCAGGAGTTCGAGACCAGCCTGACCAACATGATGAGACCCTGTCTCTACTAAAAATACAAGCCTGGGTGTGGTGGCTCATACCTGTAATCCTAGCACTTTTGGAGACCAAGGCAGGCAGATCATGAGGTCAGGAGTTCAAGACCAGCCTGGCCAACATAGTGAAACCCCATCTCTACTAAAAATACCAAAAAAAAAAAAAATAGCTGGGTGTTGCAGTGTATGCCTGTAATCCCAGCTGCTGGGGAGGCTGAGGCAGGAGAATCACATGAGCCCAGGAGGCAGAGGTTTCAGTGAATTGAGATCGCGCCATTGCACTACAGCTTGGGCAACAGTGCAAGACTCTGTCTCAAAAAAAAAAAAGTTAAAAAAAAAATAAAAAAATTAGCTGGTTGTGGTGGCTCACACCTATAATCCCAGCTACTTGGGAGGCTGGGAGCCTGAGGCTGGAGAATCACTTAAACCCGGGAGGTGGAGGTTGTGGTGAGCTGAGATAGCGCCATTGCACTCCAGACTGGGCAACAAGAGTGAAACTCATCTCAAAAAAAGAGAGAGAGAGAGAGAGAGACAGAGAGAGAGAAAGAGAGAGAGACAGAGAGA